ATTCTGCTAGTAGGATACTTGCATCTTACCAATGGCTTCATTTCCTCTCTTAGTAGGTTACAGGAGACTAGTGTGCCCCCTTTGCCTCCAGTAAACACACCTACACATGTGCACATTCACACACTGCTGTAATTAAACACACACACACTTCCTATCCCAGTTTTCTTTTCCTTGACTTTCAGATATGTTTTGATAGCCCACACAATGCACTGTTTCTCAGCACAAAACCTCAACCCTTTTGGATAACAGGACTTTGTTTTCTGAGAGGTTCAAAAAGAGGATTGCAGGAGCAAACAAAAAAAGGATTCCTTAAAAGGGGAAATCAGCATGGGCAGAGTGTTCCCACATGGGGTCCCAAATGCAGTAAGGTTTTTAAATTGCACTCTGTCTAGTGAAAACAGCAGCAGGCATACAATTTTTAGGGCACTTCCTAACAGGAACTCTGCCCCTTTGCTCAGTCTCTAAAAGAACCATTCACCTCTCCTCTTTCCTGCTTGGGGGACTCTCTTCCAAGCCTGCAAGCACCTCTTCAATGACTGACTTCTTCCTTTCCCAGTGTTTTTTATCTTCCTGGCCAAGCCTCAAACCACTTCTCCTCCTCTTCCTGATGCTGGCAGGTTTCAGCACAGCTGGAACCTTGGACTAAGAGATGGATTGACACAGTCATGCTGTGGTAGGCACAGAGGCACTGTGTCCCCCATCTGCCATTGGCACTCGTTGTGGGGGTGGCAATGCAGAGCAGAGATAGGACAAAACCAAAGCCTTTTCTGCTGAACACGCACTCTGGACTTCTAACCCTTGCACTCCCGCTGCGAGCTTGTCCAATGACCCCAATCAGCCGAGCACACACAGCCTAACAATGCCCCTCTCACCAAAGGAAATGCACATCATCCGACATGGCACACTGCCACCCGGCAGGAGCTCTGCCAAGCTAGCAAATGGACTTCTTTGAGAAGCCAGTGGATTGCTGCATTGTGAAGCCAGCTGCCCTCCCACGGTCACTCACAGAGGTGGGACTGGAAATGGCTCTCGGAAAGGCTGAATCAGCAGGAGCCTTTTTGGAAAAATATTTTGTCTCTGAGCCACTATTGATCAGTGTCCTGCACCAACACAGGAAGGCAAAAGTATGCAGCCAAGCGCAGGCTGAGTGCCATCTGCAGCACAGCAATGGCTGCAGTTCTGCCAAGGTAATGTGCTGCAAAGGCTGGCTTCATGGTTGCTGGGTTATCATGGGGGAAGACAAGGCACAAGTCCTCTTAAAAGCACCTCCTGTATGCTGACCAGCAGTGGGAAAACTCCGCAGATGTAAGCAGACCAGGACACTGGCCCAGAAAGCCTGACACAAAGCCTGACACAAACACTGTCCTATATTGGGGAGAGAGCTTCACCATTCTTTGAAGCATCAGGCATTGGCTTCTGCCAGAGAAAGGTTACTGGTTCATCAGGGCCTGTCATCTGAGTGGGTGTGGGTAATAAATTAATCAACAATCATTCATTAACACTCCAGGCACACCTTATGGGCGTTGTTCCACACCAAGCTTATTAGTGAATTGTTAAGAAGGAGAAAATGACAACCTGTGTTCTAATAGCAGAGAAAGAAACAGCCCTCACCCAGCTAGCCAGGATGAGATGGAGATGGGGAAGGTAGTACTCAGTCAGCTGCATGGAATGGGGAAGAAATGCTCACTTGCTGAGGCCAGAAAAGGGAGGGGATACAGAGCCTATCCTTTCCTAAAGTATCACTGAGCTGGCACTATCAGGAGAGCAAGAACTGTTTTGGGGGAACATTAAACAAACACAGCACATCTCACAGCTCCCTGCACTTAAACCCATTCTACACAGGTGTAACGTCACGTGAATTTCAGTGGAGTCAGTCCCAATTTACTCCTACACACAAGAGAAAAATCTGGGCTCTTGACCACTTTCCTCTCCTCTCCCTCTACCTATATAGCCTCCATCTACTCTCTGTCCCTCCATAGAATGTGGACAGTGTTGGTGCCAGGGTCTTCTCTGCAGCTCCAGATGTTGGGAGTGGCCTCCTGCAGTTCCACCTCTCCTTGACTCTCCTTCCCCATCTGGATATGAAATCCTGCATCTAATTTCTCTCTCTCCAACCTCAGAATCTCTCTGTCCCTTTGCTGTTGGCCATTACGCCTCTTTGCAGCTTTGTTATTTAACTCCGCAGATAACTTTAGGAAGCCTTTTGCACGGAAGATGCTATATGCAATAAAGCAGTACCATGGCATGTGCACATTGAAAAGTCCCGAAATCCAAGTCTCTTTCAAATACCATCACTGAGATCATGGCTGCAGGGGATTTAATTAGTCCCTGCCTAGTTCCTATGGAGGTTTATTTTCAGACTGCACAAGATTGTTTAAATAAAACCTGTGAGCCAGCACTTTTTGTTTGTGTCACATTCTATAGTAGGAGGTGAGGAAAATGATTGTTGTCAATGCAGGTCACTGGAGAGAGAGGCTCCCTCAGGAGCGGAAAGCACAGAAAACAGACAGAGCCTCATCTTGTGGTATAGAAGGGAAGAATGGCACCAGAACAAAGGCTGTGGAGGGGATACTTGGAATACTCACTTCCTCCTCCAATCCTGAAGGTGCACAGTCAGGACCTCAGAAGAATTAAAGAAAAAATACCCAAAGGGCAAAATTAAAAAAACAAAACAAAACAAAAAACACCACAAACACCTTGAAAAAACAAAACAAAACAAAAAACACACAACACACCACAAACACATTTGTTAGTACATAGCAAACTTCAAACACAAACATTTGTTAGTACATAGCAAACTTCAAATGTTTCTGATGCTCTCTCATGTAAACAACATGGATTTTAGAAAACTATGTCCCATTTCAGAGAATGGGGAGCAAAATATTCCATCACAATAAGAGCTAGGGGAGAATAGAGGAAATTAGAGAGAAGAAATGGTGAATTGGAGATCAGAAGAGAGAAGATAAATAAGCAGAATAAGATGCTCCCTCACTGGCTGTGGACTTTCTCGTGCCAATGGATCTATCACATCCTAGGTCATGCCTAGGTCAATGTAGATATTGTTCTAGATGCATCGGTAGTGACATCACATCCAGCTGTGCACATGGCACACAGCAGCTGCCATTTATGTATGCTAGCTTCCAGAGCAGGCAGACATTGTAGGAGCATAGGCCAACTATCCACATGCATCAGACACAGAAATGTGGAAGGAGTCAGAAATCCACTCATCACCGCTCACGGCCCCATTATTTAGCCTCACTCCACAAGCGGCAGGCTGAGGGATACCCCCTCAGTAGCTGTTTTGCTGGACATTTTCTTGGTGATCCCGGTCAGAGTGGAAACAACAATCA